AATGTAAAATTGTAAAAGTGCACTCGGAGCGAACACCAAACGCTATTCCGAACTCAGCTATAGTAACGACTTTCTAGTGGCTGCTTACCCGCATAAATCTCCATCTTTAGGGTATAGTAAACACGACTGTCAGCTAACGAAAATATTTTTATGCCATATTTGGCAGGTTTAGACGGAATATACTGCCTAAAGCTACAACGTCCTCTAAACCCTTCCAATTTCATCAACTATGCAGTTATCACCTGGCGAGTAGCAAGCCTGGCACCTGTCAACGAACTTATCAAATATGTTTCTAATAGGGCGAGTTTGTCTAGTTTCTTCCGCTTTTCTCTTGAAGTAATGTCATCGAATCGTAGAGCCCGTAAAAGCAAATAGAAACGATTCTTTGACATAACCATCCTAAAGAATTCTGGAGCCGTTGCATCAGTGTTCCACAGATCCCTCAAATTAGTGTGTTTCAATTTTAGAGCTCCTGCCATATACAACAAGCCAAATAAAGCTCTAACTTCTTCACTATCTGTATCTACTACATCACATTGGCGAGAATAATTTGCTGGGATTCCTCTTCTTGCTCCAACTCCCCAAAAATGTTTAAGAGATTTTCTTGTTCTTTTGGATCATACCACATTATTGATTATTGATAAGACGCACTCAATTATAGAAGAAGAGAGAACTCAGGGTTGTTCGATGAAACTTGTTTCAAACGACTATGCTTGAAAGCTTGAAACATAATACTGACTGACTAAATTTGGTTATGAGCACAAAACCCTCCAAACTATTTTCTTCCGCTAAAAAACTACAGTCAGTAAGTAAAAAACTCTAATATAACAAAAAAGACTTACCACAGCTCTTATAAAATATGTGACAAAGTTGGTCGTGGGTAGGAAAACGCTCACTCTTTCTACATGCGCATCCTACAACGTCTATAACTCGACTAACGGAAAACTAATCGATATTTCGTTTTAACTAGCATGCACCCGATTCATGGAAGGAGGATTAGATGGCGAGGTACAGGCGTACATGCGCAAATGAAAAAATGGGAACAAAAAAATATCATGAAGGTGAGCATTTCGCTCACCCCGCGGGTAACGCAGGGTTAAAAAATAAAGATAAATAGAGTTTTGTATAATGTATAGTGTTTACGCACTGCAACCCGCAGCATGTAATTTTTACCGATGATTAATAATTTATATTTTTCCAATATTTATACCAATATAAACAAAAATGTATAAGTATTTGGTCTTTTTGGAAAGCTGATGGTATGTAGAACACAGTACCAAATCCAAAAAAAAAAATTTGAAAATTACGGAAAATTTCATAGTTTGGGAATTTTCCCATCTCTACTTTTCTGTATTAAAATTGAAATCACTGCTTTTTTCAATCTACAAACATGATGCACAGTATATAAAAAAATATAGGTACACTAACTGACATGACACCACCTCAATCTCAGCAACTACAGATGAAGACGGCATGACTTGTTCAATTGTATCCATATCAGCTCGTGAATTTTTGTTTTTTTTATTTCATGTTCATCTATCTTTTGTTGCTCTGTTTTATTTCTCTTGCAATATACATATTCATATTTACGTAAAACATGACAGTATTATACTGTTTTCCGCATAGATTACAGATACAAGAATTATTTGTCCTTTTTATAAAAAAACTCGCAAACCTCGCTTTTCTGTTTGTATGGAAGGGCTTGATTCTTTCACGCGACACAAGGCTATGTAAAGAAAAAATAATAGAGTTCTGAAACAATTAGATGAGTAAATATAAATAGTGCTTACGCATTGACTGTGCTATAGACAAGTCTGAAAGTCGTACTCGTACCGCACACCTAACCTAAAATATGCAATTTGCCCGCCCAATTTCCACTGCAGCCCGCCCAGCTCGCCATAGAACACGTTCCCATCAAGGAAGCCTAATTAGCATAGTCCGATCCACAGACCACTAAATAGAATGTCCGGCCGACGATGGCTTAAGTCTGATCTACTATCAAGTTTAGGGTTAGAGCACAATGTACTTTAATCGTATACTGTACTGTGAGCTAGAGCTTAAATTTTCATTCGGTCTCGGTAAAATAACCGGTACGCGGTTTTCGACATAAATAATCGGTTATCAGGTTAAACCGAACTCGGGAAATAACCGGTTAACCGCCATTATTCCATGGCTAGAAATTGGCCTCAATGATTTGGGATCGAGGGGGATTATCCCTCTTTATCCTGCCTCATCTCGTGTAGGCCTGGACAGCCTTCGTAGGTGGGCCCCATCCGTCGTCTACCCCGACCGCAAATGCGGCCGGTATAGGCGCTTTGTGGGACCTCCTTTTGTCCTGGCTGGGCCCCGCCGGCTAGGGCCCTTTCTTCTGGCGCTCTTCTTGCTACGCCGGCTCGTCTGTGTAAACCCCGGGGGTTGTGTCATATTTATGTGTGGTATGGTTGGGTAGGGCAGTGCGGCTATGCAGCCTGGGATGCGCTTTGCTAAGGTAGTCCTGGTCACCCAGGGTCAAAAAGTTGGTGTCTAGGTCTTTTGTGTTTGTCGGTCACGTCGGGTACGTAGTCAACGGCTTGCCTGAGGAGGGGATTGTCATGTCTAGCGGCTACGTCAAACCGTTTCTCCGCGTTTTGTCTTATTGTCTGTGTAGCGTTTGTGTATTGTAAGTCTCGTAATATGTCATGTTTCTTACGTACCAGGGCGCGTCGGTGGCCGTGCGGAGGGCTATGTTTTCCACAGCCTGTAATGACTTTAAGTGGCTTTTTGCCGCGTGACCCCATGCCGTGGAGGCGTAGGTTAGCTGCGGTTGAAGTACCACCTTGATGAGCGTTCGCTTATTCCTTAAACTAGCCGGTTAACCGACACACAATAATGGGTTATTCATTTAACCGGTTATTTTTGCCCATCCCTAGTTGCGAGTATAATTCAATGACGGTCGGGGCATATAGCCCGCGGAGTAGTTGCTTCTCACAACACTGGCAATTAAAAAAAAATCCGTATGTCTTTCTGGGCGATGGTGCATACACACTTACCGAATATGTCATGAAACCGTATCCTAGAAATCACGATTGGGTGGGGGTCTCCAAAGCGATTCTTTAATTTAAGATTGTTTAGAGCACGAGTTGTAGTAGAAAACACGTTTGGAATAGTAGCTACGAAATTTCGCGTATTTAAAAAACCAGTTCAGTTATGTCCAGAAAAAGTCTCTTGTAACAATGATTTATATGTATATTACTAAACAATTATTTAATACGTAGTAACACTTCATCATCTATGTATATATACACCGCCAAGAACCGTCGATACTAACGACAACGATACACTTGTACCCGATTCATGAAGAAATGATATGGTAACGACTTGTGCTCTTCGTGATATGCCACACATACCACTACACTTTAAGCGCCAAAGCAATTAGAGAGGAATTTACCAATTATTTTTCTACTTTAGGTTAGACCTAGTAGCGCTTCTAACACAATGTGCATATAAAAAATGTGTATACTTACAGTATTTTGAATTTTCTTGTAAGTTTAGCCTTCCCCCAGGAAGGAATTAATCACTTCGTAAGCAAACCAGACTGGCATATAAACACTGGAACCTGCTCGAAAGTTCTGTGAATCCTTCACTTTTTTCGTCTATGTTCTGTAGCTCGACAATAGCGAATCTTTATTTTTTTTTTAATCTGCTACAGGGATTGCCATAACTTCACTTATTCGCATCTACGCATCATGGTTTTTCTGTTTATTTTTATGAACTTCGTGTTTTGCATCCCATAGGACGGGTTCAGCTTGATAACATTCTAACAGTGTTAATTCTAGCTCATTGTTCCAAGAGACGCTCATATTCGTATCGGAATGTACCTACCTTTAAAAATGCATTTTATTATACATATTACATTAAACTTTATAAGCCAAGTATATACCGGTATTTTTCAACTTATCAAAACGATATACTACAAAATTCAATATAGCCGGTATTTGGTGTAGATTAGAGATGGGTAACTCAGTACTGCGTTGCCAAATAGCGCTGATACCAAAGTTATTATTGCGTTAACGCAATTGAGTTACACCGATACCGCGACACCGCACGGCGCACTCACACCTTTGAGTCAAACACGTAGTCATGCGCCGTGCCCAACAGACAAAGCCGAACGAAACACGTCATCACGTCAAAAGATTCAACTCCTCTATTGGCTATTTACAAAACCAGGAATTTGACAAGAAAAGAACACAGTATAATATGTATATCGGATCTACCAAAATAATGTTAAAACGTTATATTAGGAGTAATACCTTTGAAAATAATATTATAGGACGAAAAATAGCGTGACGTATGAAATAACATGACTATTATTATGATAAAATGGAATATATACTTCGGGGTTGGGGGGACTGTCATCATATGTTTGTCACTGTCTCTGCGTGTTGTGTAAAATATAGTATAGTTTCAATTTAAGAACTCGATGGTTCGGTGTAAATATAATGAAGCGAGTACGAGAGGTGTAGACGACGCCTGCATTATTTAAAATTTTTAATTGCAGTTATGTGAAAAATTATGCATTTTAATTTTTAACTTTCATTGAAAAACAGAAACAAAATAATAATTCTTTTATACTTATAATTAACTAGAACCTTCTTTGGTTCAAAATAAAATTTAAAACATAAAAACATCAAAAAAAAATAGGTAATTCTCAAAATACTAACTATAAAAAAGATAACAAATATAAATTATGTAAAAATATAGTGTTCTTGTTATTTAAATCAGTTTTTGTTATTTAAATTATAATTTAGGAATAGTATTTGAGATATTTTTTCAGTTATATTTTTTCAAGATCGTCCAGCGTCACAGCACTGAGCAGTGAGCTGAGCTGATGAAGCTGTAGCGAGTCACGCGTCGGNACACAGATGCGCGTTAAACGTCTAAACTGCTGCAACATTTATTAAAAATGATCGTGTTTGCCGAGGTTCCAGTTTTGCAGTAATGCGCGACGTGATTACTTCAGCATGAACGACGACTCTAAAATTGCAGCTGCTGCTTTTATTATTTTGTGTGATACATTAACAAAAAAGCAAAAGAGAAGAGTGAAGAGACGTTACTGGATGACACGTATATTTCATAGTAGAAATATATACAGTGGCAGTGATTTGCTGTGTGACCTAGCAATTGAAAATACTGGACAATTTAAAAATTTCTGTCGTTTGTCTTCTAGTGATTTTGAGATGATACTAAATCTTATTGGTCCTAAAATTCAGAAAGAAAATACCAATTTTAGGTTGGCTATCCCTATCAAGGAAAGACTAGCTCTGGTGCTTCGGTTTTTAGCCACTGGAGACTCGTACACTAGCTTGATGTATACTTTTAAAATATCTAAGCAAAGTATCTCTACAATAATTATTGAAGTTTGTAAGGCATTGACAGAAGTATTAAAAGACTACATTAAGGTAAGAAAACATTTTATTTTTAATCCTAAATCACTGATACTGAATACGCTTAAGTGTTAACATCGAAAGTATGTAGATAATCTTGCAAAGGAGTTTGTGTCTCTGAAGTCTCTGTCTGATTGTATTGATAAGATTGAGCAGAATAACTAGGTGATGGAATATGAACATATGATGAAGATGATGATTCCTGAGCATATAGTGATGGTGATGATGCATCTATATTCGGTATTCTTGATTGAAAGTGTGTCTCAACAGATGTCTTCCGGTAATTATTATATTTCCCCGTCTCAGCGTCAAAAATAATATTGTTCATTAGATGCATCGCAATAGAGCGAAATCTGTTATCAAATTTTTGTAGTTTGGTGGCAATATGTTGACCAAAAGTAAAACATTCATCCTTTGGAGTATTCGACACATTTTTAAGAATGTTATATGCAGCAACTACTCTCGGATCTTCCTGCTGCACACTTTTTTATGTTTGTTTCCTTGGAGATGTAAATAGTTTGCGTTTGCGAGTTGGCGTCTCTTTGGTCTTTTGTTTCAGCGTTAATTCTTCTTCCAAATCCGCAGTTACATCGTTTGTGGATTCTGCTTCTTTTGAAACGTCCACCTCTGATTCACCATCGCTTACGGCTTCAATTTCATTTCCAATATTTGAACCCTAGAATAAAAACAATGATATTGTATAAATCAAATTTTCTGTTTGAATAAGTGGCATTTATTCATTGATTTGTTACAGACTCCGTCTACTGCAGAGAAATGGTTAGAAATTTCGAGTGAGTTTGACCAGCAGTGGAATTTTCCACACTGCCTAGGTGCAATAGATGGAAAACATGTAGTTTTGCAGGCTCCTGTAGGTAGCGGCAGTGAATACTTCAATTACAAATCATTTTTTAGTATTGTATTGTTCGCATTAGTAGATGCAAATTATAATTTTGTATTTGCGGATATTGGATGTCAGGGACGTATTTCCGATGGAGGAGTCTTCAAAAACAGTTTATTATGGAAAAAAATAGAAGATAACAGTTTGGCATTTCCTGAAGCAGCAATTCTTCCAGGGCAGCAAAAGATTATACCATATGTTATTCTCGGTGATGATGCATTTGCACTACACGAACATCTCATGAAACCATATGCAGGTTTACATAAAAAAGGTTCTTTGGAAAGAATTTTCAATTATAGACTATCAAGAGCACGAAGAGTGGTTGAAAATGCCTTTGGAATTGCATCTGCTGTTTTCCGAGTGTTAAGAAAACCAATGTTACTAGAACCAAATAAAGCAGCACTTGTTGTATTAACTACCCTTTACTTACATAATTTCCTAAGACAAAGTAATATTTCACGTAACATATACACTCCTAGAGGAACACTGGTCTATGAAGAGAATGGGGAATTAATTCAAGGAAGTTGGCGACAAGAACAACCCCCAAGTGAATCATTTCTTTCTGTGAGGAAGGTTCCAAGGAAATCGAGTAACGGTGCTCAAGAAATTAGAAGTGAAATAGCTGCATACTTTATGAATAATGGAAGTGTAGTTTGGCAAAATGATTATGCATAAAAAATGTGCTTATTGCTTTAATAAAAATTATACAGTTTGAACGTAAAGGTTGTAACTAATTCAATAAAATGTTTATTGATCAAGTAAAAAATGAGTGCCGACACGACGATTTTCATTTTAATTGACGCATTTTATAACATTCAAAAATCTGCCTTCCCTTTCATCCCCTCAATGTAATAGCCACCCCCTCAATTTTTTAAAATAACAAGAGGGGTCGTATGGGATATCATTGAAAAGGTAATTGTTCGAGAAAGTCTCGAACACATTAATTTTATTCTGAAATAAATATTGTTCGCATCACCCTGTACATTTTAAGTTATAGTTAAGATCCGACAATAAAGCAATCTGTTTTTTCCCGCAATCCACTAAACAATTAATTGGATCTACATCCAAGCAACACGAATAGAAGATATTGAAAGGGCGGATTACAGGATAAATCCCTTAATAAATTCAGGTAGTCAGTCATTACCTATGAATTGCAAATGTTGAAATTTCTAATAATAGAAATATGATTGCTGCTTACCTTAATTCTTATTTAAGCGCCCTCAAGCGGGAGAAACAACTGTTACGTATTGTAGAGTGTGACACTTCATTTGAAAGCTAATAATTTTATTAGCAATTCAATACACTACATAAAATTATCTTAAGTCCTCCATTTCAGTGTATTTTACATGATGAAAACATAGGTTTACAATTTTATTTCGAACTTATCATTTACTGGATGGATTGTAGTGAAGCTTTGGCAGCTTATAGTAAAATATTTAAAAATTAAAATAAAACAATTTCATGTGTCCTGCTAATTATTATACTATATAAAATATAAAAAAGGGATAGTGCAGATGCAGTTAAAAAAAACACATCATTCTACATATTTTTTAAATATTTTTGCCAAAAATATACTTAAATACTTACAGTTTCAGTGTTGACAGTTTCTTTCACTTTATTCTTATTCATCAGAAATGCAAAACTTGCAAATGCAAACCATTTGCTGACATAAACATCCTCCTGTCCTAAAATTTATTGACTATTTTAATTAGTTATAAGAATTATTATATTTATAATAAAAATACCTTGTCCAGTTTTTGTTGTATTTTTAATTTTTGTTCGTTCTCTTCGAAACGAAGACAACAAAGAAGTCATTTTTGTTTTGACCGATTCCGTGTCGCTTTTCATTTCTGTGGCAATTTGAAGCCAAGCATCATGTTTTTTATTTCTAAGATGGTAATTTTTATTACCACAATCCCATAATTCAGGCTTTCCTTCATATTCATTTATTAAGTGTAAAATTTTCTCGTGGTCCCAGTCACTCATGTTCTATATTGCACGCGGGCACTACAAACTTTAAATAATCATGTCCAAACTGCGCTTCGTTCGACGTGCAAATGTCTTTGATGTACCGACATCAAGCGGAACAATTGCTCGTGCTCGAAGGCGTGCGACTTCGCGCGTTCGTGCGCAGTAAAGCGTCCTAACTAGTCTTGTTCATTTAATTTTGCAACGTTTTGCGCGGTATTGCGCTGCGGTCTGGAAGCACCTTAAGAATACTATTTGAGATACTTTTACAGTTATATTTTTTCAAGATTGTCCAGCGTCACAGCACTGAGCAGTGAGCTGAGCTGATGAAGCTGTAGCGAGTCACGCGTCGGGTGGTTTAGTGGTGATACGATGACACCGCTTCGCTTTGCGCTAGGTGCGTCATCCACCAGTAAGACCCCTTTTATGCACGCGTGTTCTCCTCTCAACGCGGAGTTGACAAAAACGCCGCGTTTCAAGATACCCTGAACAGAGTTACTACGTTTATGCATTTTACGCTCGTTTATTTGCTCTCGCGTTTTCAATTTTGTCGCGATGGCTTTACAGAACGCTTGGCGACACGCGTTCCGAAAAAGCACGACGGTATATTGGCGTTTTTATGCAAAGCGCTCTTTGTCGCAAGTCCAGTGGCTCTGTCTGTCAAGAATAGTTTTAGCACATTTTGTTTTAATTTTAGTTTAGCTGTTGATGTTGGGATGTGGGACATGGATGCAATGGACGCAATTGGTATTGAAATATTTATTGATACCTTCAGAGCAAATCCTGTTATACAGGGTAGGAAAGTACCGATGGTCTATCAGAAGTTACGTGAGAGCGATAAAGTAAGACATAGAAATACATGTGACAGACAAGGATGGGTATAGTGAAGGCGTTTCATAGTCACCGCCTGTTTCGCCCTTCCACAAATAAGTAGGAGACGAGCGCATGCTATTGGCCTAAATTTTAACTGAGCAACCGGTCGTCGTCTCCTCAGATCAGACAGAATCAGTATTCAGTATGTGTATGAACTTGGGATGCGTGTGTTGTGTCGTATTATTAAGACAACGCAAATTCTTACGTACTTTTAACTATTTACAATTACTTCATACACCTAAAAGTGTACGAAAATAATTGCAACTATTTTCCTCTTTTGTATTTATTTATTAGCCGGCCTGGTAGAAAGTAATACAAAAACTCTAAAACATAAATAAACTTAAAACTTATTGCCGTAAAAAAGAAATAAAAAATTATGGTTTTTAATAAAAAATAAATAAAAATTTATGGTTTTTAATAAAAAAAGAAAGCAACATTTTCCTTTTTAATTAATAAGTTGTCCAAAAATGTCCCCCCTTTGTGCCTTGCAATATCCTAATCTGTCATAGAACTCGCTTCTTACGCGTCCCAGCATTTCAGAGGAAATATTATAAATAGGACAGCAACAATTCGGGCCCGTAAATCGACTAAATTACTTGGCCTATCATGTAAATGTCCGTAAATGGTCTGTTTTAAGTGTCCCCAAAGGAAGAAGTCATTGGGCGATAAATCTGGGAATCTGGGAGGCCATAGAATAGTGCCTCTTGTACTAATAACCCGCTGAGGAAATGTGGTTTCCAAAAAGGTGATTACCCGACGTGCATTGTGAGCGGGACAACCGTCTTGTTGAAACCACACGTCCTCAAAGTTGATATTTAATGCTCGACAGCCGGAATAATTTCGAGTTGAAGCAAAGTTAAATATTTGTCGGCATTTAGGTTTCCATTTATGAAAAACGGACCAATCACGGAATTTCCTAGAATACCTGCCCTAAAATTTAACTTCTCAGGGTACTGTGAATGCACAGGAATACTCAAGTGCTTATTTTCCGTAGACCAGTAACGAGTTGTTTGATAATTGTGAGACCTATGAAGAAAAAAAGATGATTCATCAGTAAACAAAATATGGTTTAAAAAGTTTTCGTCCGAATCAACTTTTTCCCTCATAGTTTCACAAAACTCGAGACGTTTTGTTTGGTCTAAGGGAAATAGCTCTTGAGTTTCTTGTACTCTGTAACACTTATACCCATTTCTCTTCAAAATATTTCGCACTGTTTGTTCATGCATATCAACTTCTTCCGCGATTTGGGTACTACTACAAGGTTCACTCGTTTCCACAATACCGCAAACAACTGTTTCACGTGCTACCCTGGCCTCGGACAATGGCCAGCCGTTAGCAGGTTCGTTGGAGTAGCACTTTTTGCAGCTATTTACACACCCCGACGTCTCAAATCTGCGAACGATTTGATAAATAGTCTTCACCGCAGGGATTGGCCGATTTTCAAAATGCAAATCGCCCAACGACTTCTTGTGCACTATGGGATGCATAAAACCATTTAACTATTGCCACCTTTTCCTCCGTTGTATAGATCAACATAGTAACAACATATTAATTAAATGACGGAATAGACAAAAGGCATGCATTACTTTCTACCAGTACAGCTAGAATGAGGTTGGACTTTCAGGCAGTGATGCCAGATGAATTCGATACATAAACGCTATTTATGCTTTAAAAAATCCCTACATTTCTACAAATATCTAAAATATTTAAATTTCTTGCAAGAATTTAAAAACGTATGTGGTGTATATATGATTTTATTTAATTTTCCTAATTTACATTTTGCAGTAAATTCTCAAAGTGATTGAGGATTAAATTATTTCTGCGCATATTATTCACAAAATTATGTTCATTTGGAATTTCAATATTTTCATCATCATTATAATAAAGTGCCATGATCCATCTCATTCATAGGTAACTCATTATTTCCTCTAATTGCAATATTATGTAATACTGCAGTAGCTACAATAATGGCTTGTGATTTTGGTACGATACACGCATACCTAAAGATAAAATAGGAAGCCTCCTTTTCCAAACACCAAAACACCGTTCCACAGTATTTCTAGTATTATTTGGCTTTCATTATATAAATTTTGGGCAGCCGTTGTAACTTCAGTTAATGGTGTTAATAAATAATTAGTATTGGCATAGCCACTATCTCCTAATAAAACTGCGTTGCCCATTTCCCCAGATTCAAACTTTGCTTTTATTGAGCTGCTGTTGAAAATATGTGAATCATGGGTGGAACCAGGCCATCTAACTACTATATGTTGTATCTGTAAATTAGCTTCGCACACAACCTGTACATTCCACGAAAAGTATCCCTTTCTGTTGCGGAAATATTCTGCATCTTCTCCCCCAGGAGACTGTAACCTTACGTGTGTACAATTTATCACACCTACTGCACAAGGAAACCTAGCAATTTCGTAAAACCTCTGTATTACTAACTGTCTTTCTTCAGGGGTAACGGGCATTCTGATATACCTAGGTCCCAGCATTGCAATTGCTTCGCTCACTTGTTTGACACATACACACGCTGTTGCTTTACTGACTCCAACAAAATCTCCTACTACAATTAACATTGACCCAGTAGCAAAAAATCTGAATGTTAATAATAACTTTGTTGCTGGAGAAACTGCATTATTTTGATTAGTCTGAGATTGAACAATGTGCTGAATTTCATCCAAAAGATGTCTACATGTTGGTTTCTTTAAATGAAATATTTGGAAGAATTCTAAATCGTCCATTTCTTCACAATATTCCATCCTAAAATAAACTACTACATCACATACTGGTTTATTATATAAAAAAACTGTACCTTTCTCTAATTTTCTTTGGCTTACTTCTGACTGGTAGATCTATTTCTTCTTCAGAAGATTAAAAAACCGGGACATCTAGTAAATCCATTTTAAAAACACTGTCTACCTTGAGGTAATAATAAATATAGCTTAAATTTCAACAGTAGGTAATATTAACGAAAACAAGTTATTTGTTTTGTAAGGTTAGGTACTGAACGCTATTCCTGGTTTACCGCGCTAACCCGCTGCTTAACGGCGGAATAAGA